GGGTTCCCACAGCGTGTCCCCCATCCTGCAGAGGGTCCCACAGGGGTTCCCACAGCGTGTCCCCCATCCCGAGGTCCCACAGGGGTTCCCACAGCGTGTCCCCCATCCTGCAGAGGGTCCCACAGGGGTTCCCACAGCGTGTCCCCCATCCCGAGGTCCCACAGGGGTTCCCACAGCGTGTCCCCCATCCTGCAGAGGGTCCCCGTTGCGCTCAGACCGCGGCCGTGGTTTATTGTCCCACCCGCGCTACATCCTAGGCTGGCCGGGGACCCCGGACCCCCGGGGCAGCGCCAGCCCCACAGCTGGGGCAGCCAGGGGTCCGGGGGGGCAGCCGGGGGTCCAGGGGGGCAGCCGGGGGTCGTGGGGTCCAGGGCGGTGCCGCAGCCCCTCAGCTGGGGCTGACCTGGCTCGAGGACACGGAGGAGACCTCGGTGCGCTGGGCCGAGCTGGACATCTCGGAGTCGTCGCTCATGGGCCGCCCACACACTGTCTCCAGGATGCAGGCGCGGAACTGTGGGGACACAGGGGCAGGGGACAGCTCAGCCCGAGGGTCCCACTGGCCCCAGGTCCGGCCCTGGCACTGTCCTCACACCCCTGGTGCCACGTTGGCCCCATCTCCCATCCCTCGGTATGTGCCAGCCCTGTTGGTGGCCCTGGACGTGACCATGTGTCCCCAGGTGTCCCCAGGTATCCCTGGATGTCCCTTATACCCCGTGTGTTCGTGGGTGCCCTGCGTGTCCCCCCGTGCCGCGGTGTCACCTGTTTGTTCATGAAGCAGTAGATGATGGGGTTGTAGATGCAGGCGCTCTTGGAGAAGAAGGCAGGGACGGTGACGAGGCGCAGGTCGAGGCCGTGGTCGCGGTTGTTCACCATGTACATGGCCAGCGCCGCGTAGGGGACGTAGCACAGGCAGAAGGACCCCACCATGACCACGACCATGCGCGACACCTCCCGCTCCGCCTTCTGCGTCGTGGCCGACTCCTGCTGCTGTGCTGCCACCTGGGATGGGGACGGGGACAGGGACACCTTGGGCCTGCCCAACCCCCTGATCCCCTGCTTGCCCCCCTGCCCGGGCACCTGCCTTGTGCTCCTGCCCACCCTTCTGATCAAGCAGCCTGTCCTTCCTCCCTCCCTCCCTCCCTCCCTTCCTCCCTCCCTCCCTC